TAGTGACAGTGAGGGGGGTGACTAGTGACAGTGGGGGGGTGATTAGTGACAGTGAGGAGGGTGATTAGTGACAGTGGGGGGGTGACTAGTGACAGCGAGGGGGGTGATTAGTGACAGTGGGGGGGGGTTTGATTGGTGCCTACCTGTCTCTCTGCTTCCTCTGCTCTCTCACTGGCTGCTGCTCCTTCCCCACGCTGGGCTCTGAGTGAGAGTAAACAGGAAGTGAGGTCACTTCCTAGCCCCGCCTCTCCCATCACACAGAGCACCGCGGGACAGAGAGAAGGAGACCTGGCAGAGAGGAGGTGAAGCTGCCCGCCCCTGCCGTTATTGATTCTGGTAATTCTGGTTATTTGACTTTGGCATTGTTTTTGACTTCCCAGTTTTCTGGCAATCCTGACCCCTGGCATTTCCTTATCGTTGTGTCTCTTTCTGTATCCCTTGACCTCGGCTATTCCTGACTATTCTTTGGTACGTTAGTCCGGCCATTCTAAGGTCAGGTATACGTTACCTATCAGTCTTCTGTGTTACACAATTCTACGTGCTGGATCATACTGTAATCCTGACAGTATATAGTCTATGACAGAGCAAATTAGTATAAGGAACTAGTTGCTCAAATTAAACTTGCAATTATGCCACAGTGCGGAATGTGACTTGAATTATAAAAAAACAGATCATTTTATTAATTTAAAAAACATATTCCAAAATATAAAAATGGCGATAAAAATCAGAGGATAACATATAGTCCAGTATACAGGAGATAAAATAGGTGAATAAACCTGTAGGCCAGACCCAGATGGATGAGGATTGTAGGAGTTGGTACTTCCTCTATATCCTGGCAGCCGGTGAGGAAGGCGTGAGTGTCACTGTGCGTTCCACCTCCGACCTCACATCGAGAGGTGAGCTCTGGTCTCACTGGATAGTATTGGTGTCGGGTCCGGAATCTTTGACTGACAGGGATGTTTTCTATTCAGTCTCCACTGGCAAATACTCCTCTTGATCAGATTGCGTAGTTTGCCTTAAACATTTCATAGGGTACAACCCTACTTCATTAGAGACTTCTGATCTGTGTGGTATGTGACAGTTTATATATGCGCATACCCAAATTACTAATTGCACATTTGGATGATCATCACATATATTACTAGATTAATATAAGTGTGAAAGAAACATTAATGAAACATTAACATGTATATACATCATTATTTACATATTATTCAATTTATCTGTTAGACATAGACACGTAGTTTAAATGTCATGGAAACAGCAGAAATAGACCGTTTATAGCATCATTCTTACTCATTTTCCAACCTTATATCGTAGATCAGTCCATGTAATAAATTGGTAAATGGATTATTAAGAAACTGGTTAATAAAGAGCTGATTATTAAAGAAGTTAACAAACAGAAGAAATTTATACTTATTAAAAACTTGTTGTCAGACTTTTGAACACTCCCACTATATTTTATGGTGTATTTATTTTTGTTTTATGTGTAGCTAATTTGTTTTATACATTTTAGAAATGATATTCTTTAAAAGAGGATAAATATAAAATGTGATTTACTAAAAACAATTTGGTAGGGAATGGTGGGTATATAAGGGGGAAAGAACTACAGTGCTTTGCAAAAGTATTCACCCCCCTTGACTTTTTATCTATTTTGTTACATTACAGCCTTAAGTTCAATGTTTTATTAATTTGAATTTTATGTGATGGATCAGAACACAAAAGTCTAAGTTGGTGAAGTGAAATGAGAAAAATATATACATAAAACTATCTTTTTAGAAAGAAAACAGAAAATTGGCATGTGCGTATGTATTTACCCCCTTTGTTATGAAGCCCATAAAAAGCTCTGGTGCAACCAATTACCTTCAGAAGTAACATAATTAGTGAAATGATGTCCACCTGTGTGCAATCTAAGTGTCACATGATCTGTCATTACATATACACACCAAAACTCACGGACTGGGCAAGGAGGGCATTAATCAGAGAGGCAGCACAGAGACCTAAGGTAACCCTGGAGGAACTGCAGTGTTCCACAACAGAGACTGGAGTATCTGTACATATGCCGTATGCTCCATAGAGTTGAGCTTTATAGCAGAGTGGTCAGAAGAAGGCCATTACTTTCAGCAAAAAACAAAATGGCACGTTTTGAGTTTGTGAAAAGGCATGTGGGAGACTCCCAAAATGTATGGAGGAATGTGCTCTGGTCTGATGAGACAACAAGTGAACTTTTCGGGCATCAAAACTAACGCTATGTCTGGCGCAAATCCAACACATCACATCACCCAAAGAAACATGGTGGTGGCAGCATCATGCTGTGGGGATGTTTTTCAGCAGCCGGGACTGGGAAACCGGTCAGATTTCAGGGAAAGATAGATAGTGCTAAATACAGGGATATTCTTGAACAAAACCTATACCACTCTGTGCGTGATTTGAGGCTAGGACGGAGGTTCACCTTCCAGCAGGACAATGACCCCAAACACACTGCTA